TCTTAATTATTTTTTTTTAAAAGATGACCGGTAAGGGGATCCTAACCCCTGTCTTGGTGTTGTCCCGCGCCTCGCTCAGCCAGTGAGTGGGAACCGGTCTGTATGTGGGATCCGAACCCTCGGGCGGGAGCGCCGCCGCGCTTCCCAAGCGGCGCACTTATCCAGTGCGCCACCGGGCTGGCCCCCAGATAATATAATTTGCAAATATTTTTTCTCATTCTGTGGGCTGTCTTTTCATTTTCTTGATAGTGTCCTTTGATGTACAAGTGTTCTTAATTATTTTTTTTTAAAAGATGACCGGTAAGGGGATCCTAACCCCTGTCTTGGTGTTGTCAGCACCACGCTCAGCCAGTAAGCGGGAACCGGTCTGTATGTGGGATCCGAACCCTCGGCGGGAGCGCCTGCCGCGCTTCCCAAGCAGCGCACTGTAGCAGTGCACCACCGGGCCGGCCCAATCTGTTTATAATTTTTAAAAATGTTTTCATTAGTTTGCTTGTGCTTTTGGTGTCATATTTAAGAAACCCCTGCCACCATACTGGCCAGTTAAAAAAAAAAAAAAAAAAAGGAAGAAAGAAACCATTGCCTAATCCAAGGTCACAAAAATTTGTACTTATGTTTTCTTCTAAGGTGCGTTTGTGTTTATAGTTATTATCTTTTTGGTGGATTGACTCTTTTAGCATTATAAAATGTCCTTCTTTGTCTCTAGTATCAGTTTTTATCTTAAAGTCTATTTTGTCTGATAATAGTAAAGTCACGCCAGCCCTCTTCTGAGTACTATGTACACAGAGTATATTTTTCAATCCTTTTACTTTCAACCTATATGTGTTTTTGAATCTTTTTTTTTTTTTAATTTTTAATTTTTTTGTGGCTGGTCAGTACGGGAATCTGAATGTTTGACTCTGGTGTTATAACACCATGCTCTAACCAACTGAGCTAATGGGCCAGCCTCCACTATTTCACAAACATTAAAGTAGTTTTTAAAACATATATTCACAACATTCTGCTCAAAGTCCTGGTTGTAATTTAAACCCATTCATTCTTTTCCTCTTTTTAATGTAATGGACAGCTCAATACATTCATACAATATTTCTTTTTCTTTTTTTTTTTTTTTGTCTTTTTCCCTCAGCGGGAGCGCCGCCACGCTCCCAAGCGGCGCACTGTAGCAGTGCGCCACTGGGCCGGCCCTATAGCTAAAACTTTTAAGGCCATTTTAGTGTAAGCCCATTTCCCATGCCTGTCTTCTGTATGAGCAGATTTATTTTTTCTAACTAGTTTCTTTGTCATTTAAATGCTTGTTTTATTTAAAATATCACACCCATCTAATAATTCCATTCTGTAAGATGCTTGCCATTTCACCCACATTCCTCTGGTGCCAAATTCTACAATCTCTCTCTTGGCATCAAGGCTGACAATTCCCAGTGGTACAAGTTGTCTCTGGTCAGATGGTACCCAATAACCCCTTAAGACATCTAGGTAGGGATGCTTGCTCTTAGCTCTCTACTTCACTCACTAACTCCTGCTCTCTTCCCATTCCTCAGTGAATTTGTTGGGAAGCCAACACCACAGGAAGAGCCCTTGCTCTCTATTCATGCTCCATCTGGTCTGACTGAGCAACTTGTAAAAGTGTATATGCTTATACATCATCATCATCATCATTTTGACTCTGATGGTACTAATAAATGGCTGTGGCACTTTAAAAGTCAAGTGAAGAGCTGATGACAAAGAACTGGATTTTTGTTAAGATCAGTGTACCTAAATGATAGATTAGTGAAATGAAAGATTAAGCAGATAGAAACATGACCTGGGGCCGGCCCGGTGGCGCACTGCTACAGTGCGCCGCTTGGGAGTGCGCCGACGCTCCCGCTGAGGGTTCGGATCCCACATACAGACCAGCCGCTCACTGGCTGAGCGAGGTGCAGGGGCAACACCGAGCGTTGGGATCCCGTTGCCGGTCCCGGTCCGGTACGGGCGCGACACTGAGGGTTGCGATCCGTTGCCGGTCACGAAAAAAGACAAAAAGGAAAAAAAAAAAAAAACATGACCTAATATATATTCTCTCATTATCTTGTGAGTGGGCACCCAAGTCAGCTACCACTTAAGTCAGATGAATTATATATATCAATTGTCATTTTAAAAAGTTTAAAATTGACACATAATAATTGTACATATTTGTGGAGTACTGTGTGATATTCTGATTCATGGTATAATGTGTAATGATCAAATCAAGTTAATTAATATATTCATCACCTCAAACATTTATCATTTCTTTGCGATGGGAACATTCAAAATTTTCTCTTCTGGCTAATTGAAAGTATACAATAAATTACTGTTAATTATAGTCACTCTATAGTGGTATAATAGAACACTAGATCTTATTTCTCCTAAATATTTAGCTAAATTTTCATTTTCATCAGCCTGTTCACAATATTGTAAATTCTCAAATAGAATGCCAAACTCTACTTGAATCTCTCAATGCCTGATAGCCATCTAAATTAAGTCTACCACTGATTTTTTTTCTTTTTGCCTATCAGGTGTATTTCTGCCCTTTTTTAAGGACTTGGAAGTGGAAACTTAAAATAGTCCGAGCATAATAACTGGGAGGAGATGACTGCCCTTTTTTAAGGACTTGGAAGTGGAAACTTAAAATAGTCCGAGCATAATAACTGGGAGGAGATGAAACCAAAAAAGTCTGGGAACTCCTAAAATATATATTTAACTACCTGACATACTTTTTGAACAAGCTTAATGTCATTAGTACTATGACACAACAGTTAAAAGGATGGGATTGAAAATTATGACTGCTTGGTTCAGATACGGCTCTATTATTGACTGTGAAACTTGAGATTAAGTTACTCAACTCTCAGATCCTCAGTACTCCTAATAATAATATGGAAATGATAATAGTACCTATTTCATAGGACTTTTGGGAGAATTATATAACACATGGAAAGCACTTGCTACAGTGTGAGGCACATAGTAAGCCCTCAGAAAATGTTAGCTTTTATTTTCATTTTATTTTCCCAGCTGGCCAGTACAGGAATCTGAACCCTTGACCTTGGTGTTACAACACTGCACTTTAACCAACTGAGCTAACTGGCCAGCCCCCAGCTTTTATTATTTATCATTGTTGTTATCATTATGACCAAAGTATCGAAGTACCAACACCAAGGTCCAAGGTTCAATCCCTGTAGTGGCAAGCTGCCAAAAAAATAAATAAATAAAATAAAAACAAAGTATCAAAGTACCTTTTACATTAGATTTAAAAAAAAAAAAAAATCAAAGGGGCCGGCCCGTGGCTCACTCGGTAGAGTGCGGTGCTGATAACACCAAGGCCACGGGTTCGGATCCTATATAGGGATGGCCGGTTCGCTCACTGGCTGAGCGTGGTGCTGACAACACCAAGTCAAGGGTTAAGATCCCCTTACCGGTCATCTTTAAAAACAAAAAAAAAAAAAGCAANACACCAAGTCAAGGGTTAAGATCCCCTTACCGGTCATCTTTAAAAACAAACAAACAAAAAAGCATAGAAACAATTCTTCTAATAAATTAATACAATTTAATGTTAATATAATAATAAATTAAGACTCCCAATATAAAACACTTTGAAAATTATACCGTGATATATAAATATTAAATGTTATATATTATGCTGAATTACCTATATCAATGTTTTCTCTTCCCAGTGCCACAAGTGAGAGAAACAGTATTTCTCTGTATAAACTCCTACAGGAAAAAAAGCATGGAGAAAATATTACTATCCATATATCTATATGTACTCTAAAAACTTTCATGCTAACATAAGCATGAGATATTCTAACAAATTACTAAGCAAACAATATGACTCTGCTCGGAGGAACAATATATTCATTTAAGAAAATGACTTACCTCTGTCTTTTAAAATGTGGACACTTATTCAGTGTCTCTAAAATCTGACTCATTGGTCCATAGACATCATTCATTTTAATGCTTTTTACCATACTTTTCAATAGTTCCTGGTTAAATGAGTTATCATTTTTTTTCAATAAATGGACCATTGGATATTTCTGGGCTGTAAAAGAACAAAAGAGCAGATGAAGGGGAATGTTGTGTGTAGAAAGGAGAAAGAAATTTAGCAGCTACTGACAGCTATTTAAAAAGTTACAAGCACTAAAAATAAATTAAGGGCAATAGATAAAGGAATAGAAATCCAAAAATGAAGAAAGCAAAAAAGAAAAAAAATAAGACAAATAATGATAAAAATAGGCCTAAAGCTCTTTGTGGTCTCAAATAGACAATAACTAAAAATACTGTTTCCCTTAATATAGCCCCTGAAGGAAATTCTACATCAGCAGCCTGGGATGGAAACAAATAAAAAACAAATAAAAGGAAGAAATTGGGACAAGCAGTGTGCTGAAAGCTGAACTCTACAAAACACAACCAACCCCTCCAGCACATACATAGCACCCCTCAAAAAACCAAAAGAAAAAAAACTTGACCTCCATAGAAGGTAGCACTAAAAAAATCAAACTTAACACTCACTCTCAAACAAAAGAGTACGATTTTGACCTGTAAGACAAAAAGTAGTACAATAAAGTAAAAGTCAGTTATACATTAGTTTAGGCTATTTAAAGCAAGTAGAGATTACTCTCATATGAATCAAGTCAGCATCCTATGATGGCACTTACTGTGGGCATTCCAGAGGATGTACAAGGGCTGTCCTGGATCCTGATGTAATTTCATATTGTCCCATAACATTTGTATTAAAACATATTTACTATCTTCAGACATACAGTGGCGGGGAATCTGTGTTGTCAAATAAACGTTCATTAATGATCCTTACATAATCATTTCTTGTAAATATTTCATAAAATCATTATACATGTTTTTAGGTTGCATGTGTACAAGAGAGAAAAGAGAACAGAAAATTACTGATTCATATGCATTTGATGTCTACTGATGGAAGATGGGCTGAGTTGAGAAGCTAATGATTTCTAAAGTAGCAGATTTAACAAAGTACTTGAGATAGTTGAGAAAGGGTACTCCTAATCATGATTGAAAGTCCATAGAAAGATGAGTCTAATAGTTCCATTCCATATCAGTCCTGAAGACTCTAGTCCAGATAACTCTGAGTTAACATCTTTGTCACTCATTTATGATAAATGTAAATCCAAAGCACATGCACAATTACAGACATGAAGTACAAGAAGGGAGAAGACAAAATTCCTGAACTCAGAGACTGTAATTTAGTGGCAGTGACAGAATATTAAAAAAATGCAAATCAAAACCACACTGAGATACCATCTCACTCCAATTAGGATGGCTAATATCCAAAAGACTGAGAATGATAAATGCTGGTGAGGTTGTGGAGAAAAAGGAACCCTCCTACATTGTTGGTGTGACTGAAAAATGGCACAGCCTTTATGGAAAATGGTTTGGAGGTTCCTCAAACAATTACAGATAGATTTACCATATGACCCAGCTATTCCACTGCTGGGAATACACCCAGAGGAATGGAAATCATCATGTCGAAGGGATACCTCTACTCCAATGTTTATTGCAGCACTATTTACAATAGCCAAGAGTTGGAACCAGCCCAACTGTCCATCATCAGATGAGTGGATAAGGAAACTGTGGTATATCTACACAATGGAATTCTACTCTGCTATGAAAAAGAATGAAATGCTACCATTCGCAGCAACATGGATGGACTTAAAAAAATTATATTAAGTGAAATAAGTCAGGCACAGAAAGAGAAATACCACATGGTCTCACATATTTGTGGGAGCTAAAATAAACAAACGGAGGGGTGGGGCGGGGAAGAAAATACAACCATCACAATTCCTTGAACTTGTTAAGATAAGTGAACAGATATGATGTTGATGGGTGGGAGGGGGGAGGGAGGAATCGGTAAAGGGACACAAAAATCAACTACATTGTATATTGATAAAAAAATTAAAAATAAAAAAATAGAACCCCCCAAAAGTAAAAATACTCTTATAGAACAACATATCAAAAATATAAATGAGGGCCGGCCCAGTGGCGCACTGCTACAGTGCGCCGCTTGGGAGCGCGGTGGCGCTCCCGCCGAGGGTTCGAATCCCACATACAGACCGGTTCCTGCTCACTGGCTGAGCGAGGTGCGGGAGCAATA